AATGGGATATTGCAGATTGGGCTGTCTGATTTTCATAACTGCCTGCAACTGGAGAACCTTTATTTAAAAAGCAACAAAATATTCAAAATTCACCCAGAAGCTTTCAAGGACCTCAAAAAATTACAGGTTCTAAAATCATTTTTATAATATCTTAGATATTCAGACATATGGGCAATTGCATTGGAAGACTTTCCTTTGAGGAGTATTCTCATATCCTTTTTCACTGGTTATTAATCAAAACATGTAAGTGTATTTTAAAATCCCCTAGAAGAGCTGAAGTCTCTTCATTGCTTCAGAAATCAAAGGCCACATTAATGGACATGAACTTCACCCAAACAATACTCCACAGCAAAAACTGGCACATTATTTTCTAAATCAAATTAAATTGAACTCCAAGCTTCCACTTACCATTTGGCAAGAAATTAAATCTGCTGTTTGTGAGGCTGCCTCCCTAAACTGCAATATGAGTCAAAGCCCTTGGTGTCTTACATGCAAACTGGAATGTTTGGGGAGACCCCTCTGAACCACTCTGGACAATGCTGAGTTGTCAACAATTCAGACTATCTGGGCCACTAAGAGCCTGTGACCCTTTTGCTTCTATGCCAAAATGGTGATGCTAATGCATTTTGTACCACACCCACCACAGGCCGCATACTGTTCTAAACATCAGACACGTACTGGGGGAACGTGTGTCACATTTTGGAGCTGTGCATTAAGTTTCCTGAAGTCCTCACAGCTGTGAGAGTGAGGAACCCCAAGCCCTGTTCTTGGTTTGGCAGCTTCAGCCCCTTTTCCTCCAAGCACTTTCCTCCATGCCCTTGTGCTTTGGAAAGGCATTGTGAAATCTCCCCTCATTGGTCCTTTAGAAATACCAGAAGGGCCTCCAGAGTGGCACGCAGAAATAACCTGGGAGAGTCTTCAGTTATAACCTCTACCCCCCACCCCCATTCCTTCCATAGGCCAGTATTATTCACAAAAACAATGTGAGCCACACATACTATTTTAAATGTTCTAGTAGCTACATTTAAAAAGTTAAAATAAGCAAGTGAATTTCATTTTAGTTATATGTATTATTTAACCCAGTATATTATCTTTTACACATGTAATCCATATAAAAATTCTTAGTGAGATATTTTACATTCCCTTTTTTATACCAAGTCTTCATACCTGGTGTGTTTTATATCCCAACATGGACTACCCACATGATAATTTCGTGATAGCTACATGAGGCTCATGGTGGTTTTTATTAGGCAGCACAGACATAGATAACTGATATTTCCCCAGTGTGATGGGAACTGCTATGGAAGCGTAGCCATGAAAAAAGTCTCTGGCTCCCAGAATGGCTCCCTAATCCCTCCACCATGGAAAGGAGACTGGGGAAACAGTGGTCAGGTCGGGGAGAGGCATTCTAGAGCAAGCTGCATGGGGTTCAACCTAGACTCTGCCACTTTCCAGCCACACCATCTTGGTTATCAGATTTCTCATCTATAAAGTGGAGATGACTTGGTTCTTTCTCATAGAGTTTTGTTGAGAATTAAATGTTTTAATGCATACGAAGTTCTTAGAACAGTGCTTAGGATTCGGTAAAACTCTTTGTTCATGTAGACTACATATAGAAATTTTAAAGTGGCCACAGTACTCTGTTCTGTTAATATACAAATCTGATCATGCCATTCATTGGTTAAAATTCTTCCAAATTTCTCAAGAAGGGTCCTGGCCCTGCCTGCTTCTCTAACCTCATTTGAAGCCACTCTCCCCTTGCATACTGGTCTCCTACCTGTTTTCACCTCAGGCCTTTCCCACTTGCTGATCTTTTACCTGGAAGAGCTAACTCATATTAATTCTTTCAACTTTAGCTTGAATGTCAACTCTTTAAGAAGGGTTCCAGATTAAGTCAGGCCCCCCTTTTTCCCCCACACTTTATAATATGCTATGTTTAATGCTTATTGCACTTATCCCAACAGAAACCATTTAGTTTTAGTGTGGTTAGTTTATAAAACCCATGCCCCCTCACCCTATTACCAGATGAACACTCTTTAAGTATATACATCATGTCTGTTTTGTTTTCCAGTGCTTAGCTAGGACATTTAAAAATATTTGTTGAATAAATAAATGAATGCATGAATAGATGATGTTCATGGATAATTAGGAAATTATTGCTACATAACAATTTACTACACATTTAGCAGCTTAAAACCACGCACATATAATATCTCACAATTTCTGTGGATCAGGAATTCAGGGATGGCTTAGCTAGGACCTCTACTTGAGGGTATCTCAAGAGGCTGCAATCGAAGTCTTAGCACAGGTTAAGACTCACCTTAAAGAGTCTCACCTGAAAACCCAGCTGAAAAAGTATTCATTTCTCAACTCTGATGGTTATTGGCCAGACTCAATTCCTTGTTGGGCTGTTGAGCTTCGAGAGTTCTGCTCTTTACCAGCTGGTGACGAAAGCCTGCCCTCAGTCTCCTGCCTACGGCTCCAGCTCCTCCACAGAGCACTTTATGGCATGGCAGCTTGCTTCAGAGCAAGTATGATTTACATAATGTAATTATATAACTTAAATAATGTAAGTTCCATTTTATATAATGGAATCACCAAAGTGACATCCATTGCTTTTGCTGTAGGTTCTTGGCTAGAAACAAAGCATAGGTCCTGCCCACAGCTGAAGGGAGGAGATTGCTCTAGAGCCTAGGAGTTAGGATCACTGGGGACCATCTTACAATCTGTCTGCCATGGAACTTATTAGAGAAGATGAGACGGTCCACTTCATTTAGCAGTGCACGTAGATTGACAAATTGCCTGGGAACCTCATTTAGTGCATTATATATGGATTATATTTGTATGTGTAATTTTCCCTATATCTGTTTACTTCCTATGCATTTTTAGTGTACTTTATGAGTCTTCTGCAACTCACAGGTGATAGATGCGAAAGACAAGCTGTAATTCTCAATTCACCAGAACTGCCAAGAATCCTACAATTCCTCCTTCTCTATTACCCTTCCACATGCTTGGCAGTAACTTTAAAAACTGGAACATGATGAACATATTTGGTACCAAAAAAGCTGAATATCACAATGGATGTTGTTTTTCTTCTGGGAGATGAATTTAATACTTGCACTATTCTGTGTGTATTCCCATGTGGGAATCTTTTCAGAAGCTAGATGGATTTTTCAAAGCATAATTTCATCACCATGTTTAAATGCAATAAAATAAGTTCCATTGACATTTCAAATTAGCATTTCTTTTCTTAATCTTATCTCATTCTTCTTAGATGCAGTGATTTGTGAAACACTATTTATATGCTTCTCCAGTCTCTCTGTAATGTACAGCCTTTTCAAATGCTAGTGGATGAGTGTTTCTTTAGGCAAGTGTTAGCATTCTGTTTTAATCTTTTCTCAGAAATTTTTTCCTCCTGAATCACTTTATTAATTTCCTTTCTTCCCTTCAGTTTTGCTTTCAGTTCCATGATTTGTAATATAAGATGCCAGGATGAAAACAAAATGCACTACAAAGAAAATAACTATCTGAAAAACATCAGAATATCTCACTCTGCTGTTGAGGAGAGCTACATAAGAAAATAACCATCTGTCTTTTAAAAAATGGGATATCTCAGTCTATTAGATAGTTATTTTATTTCTCAGAGAGTTATTTTCAAAATGCATTTGAAAGGGCTGTAGATTACAGAAAGACTAGGAGATGCATATAATATTGCTTCACAAATCACTGCATCTAAGAAGAATGAGGTAAGAAAGCTACTGATCCTAGGCAAGACAAGGCCAAAGCAAAGTGTTTTCTCCTTCCCAACCCCAGTCTTCTGCTTCCTGTTGTTAGCAACCTTCCTTTGAAAGTCAAGATTGCTCTCAGAAAAAGTTCACCAGGAATTCTGATTCTATACATAGCGTTCTTGTTTGTAGCACTATTTAGTTGTTTGAATTAGCTCTTCTTGGGAATTTATATAATCCAAGAAGTAAATGCTGATTTCCCCCCTGCTGTTTATAAAAGCAGTTGGCCTTGATAACATTTGGCCTTTAGAGTTTTTATCCATGGGCCTCTTTTTTTAAAGCAAGGTTTGCATTTTCTGTTTATGATTTTCTCTTCTCCCACCTGTACCTGCCTAAACTTCACATCCCCCCTCTGTGTCTCCTGCTCCAGGCCTCCTCCACCTTGTCCCTCTTTCTTTCTAGTGTGGTGAGTCTGGGAGGGTGTGTTCTTCAAAGGCACATAGCTGTGAAGCCAAATCAAATTGCAACTCTGCCACTTCATTTATTCATTCTTTACTGAACAGCTGCAGTGTACCAGGCCCTTGTGTCAAGGTCTGTGTGGAATGTACTGTGTGGTTCAGCCCAGTTTCTTCCTCTGTAAAAAAGGGGGAAAGTGAGGACATTGTCAGAGTATTAGAGATAATGTTTGTGAGGAACCCAGCAGAGTGCCAGATATACAGCAGTGCTCTGCAAACAGTAGCTGGAGCTGCATCTGACTGTTTTCCCCTGCTTTAGCCTACCCCTGCTAGGTCTGACTGTTCTGGGTCTCTAAACCGTTGAGTCCTTTATTTTTCCCAGTCTCCCCACTGCATTTCTTATTAAACTAGACAAATTGTCATCTTGCAGGTTCTAAATATCCATAGATGCAAAGAACTGCAGTACTATCCTTGAGAAAATGTTTGATGTAAAAGATCTATCTTTGCAACTTCTCGTCAACCAGATTTCTTCTGTGTTCTTGGTCTTCATCATCTGGCATCTTTTGCTACTTTCAAGATCACAGCGTTTCTAGAAATTCTAAGCCTGTATCCATTTCTAGACCTTGACAGCACAAAACTCTAGGTATATTTAACAGTATAAATTATAATTCATAGGAAAGAAGAAAGAGAAAATGCTTGGCCATCTAATGCAGATACCATGCTTAAAGCTTTCACATACATTTATTCCTTACAACACCTCTGGAAAGTAGGTTTGCAAAAAGCAAACAATTTGCTTAGACTTACAGAGTTTTTAGGGGCAAAGCAGACAATTAAACCCAGTACCTTCTGATTTTCAAATGAGTACTAAACTCATAGTGCTTCCATAGAGATGTAAACAATATCATTCTATAACATTTATTTTTATCTCTGGATATCTTTGTTCACAACTTTCTTAAATTTGTTTCTTCTCAAGCAGGTTGTAGACCTCAGCAACAATGCTCTGACCACTGTCCTACCAATGATGATCATTGCTCTAGAATTTCCCCATCTGGAGGTTGACTTGACAGATAATCAATGGCAGTGTGATGATAGAGTGACATTCTTCCAAAGTTTCATTTCTGAATCCTGGAGGAGAAAATGGAATATACTTTGCAATAAGTCTGTAGGTAAGTCAGTCACACTTCTTTTCTCTGAAATGGTTCCATTTTAACTGAAAAGTGCATATAAAAATGTAGTGTCATTTGAAACAATGACAGTCCCTCTAAAAGCAAGATTGTTGAACCCCAGCATTAGTCAGCCTTGGACTGTGTCACGGCCATTGATGCCTTACTATATCCTCAGTTTATGAATGATTTTCTTCATGTAGTAAAAAAAAACTAGTTCAAATCACTCAGAATGAATTGGTTATAGTAAAAAATAAATTTCAGTAGAAGAAAATTTTACCCTGAAGCCTCAAAACATCAGTTTTACCCTAATTCTCGAAAAAATTGATTAAAGAAATGACTTTTAAATTTTGAAACATGATTTTAAATGCTTGCTGAGACTCTGAAAATGTGATACTATACATACACAAAAAACACACATATTTCAAAAATATATTTCCCTTTGATTTGTTCCTTGCCTCTCCCAAAATTCAGTTGGAATTAAACATTTTGGGAAGTTTTTTTTCCCCCATTATTAATTAGCTATCTTGAAGGAGGAAAAAAAAAACTTGAAAACAGTCAGATTTTCTAAAAACTGAGCCCTGGGCTCAATTCTGTTCAGGACTGCCAATAAAGTAGAATCAGAGACATACCTACCAGGCTCAGAAGACATTCACAAAGAGCAGAGGGAGGTTAGAATGTTGTCCACCACACTTACGTCATTCCTTTGTACAAACCAGTACTGGCATTCTGAATAGAGAAGACAGAGGCCAGGGACCAGAAGACAAAAATGAATGTATTTTTCTATTTACCAGCACTGAGGAATGGTGAGAAAAGAATACTGCAACCCTGGGAAGGAACAAGACAGATTTTGCTGGAGCTAATAGAATGTTCTGGCAAACATGAGGTAGTTGAGTGTATAGAGGGAGGAGGAGCGATATGGTTGTCCCTCTGGTCTGGCTTCTTCCTCCCATAGGCAGCAGGCAGGAAGCCTAAGAAACATGCAGCCTCCTGGGGCCAGCAGCAGCTCTACTCCTGACAGCCATGTGTAACTGTGCACAGAACCATGTGTATACTGTTGGCATTAGACAAGAATGAATAAATGAATGAAGACTGCTTGTCATCATTTAATATACACTTGAAAATATAGTAAGATAAGGACTGAGGAGAACTCACAGCTTTGATACACCCTGGAACCTTATTTTCATATCCACTCAGTGTGTGGTTTTTGTCTCCCACTTACAGGGAATGAGAAAGCACATTTGGAGATTCCCAAAAGCAGAATTTCCAGGGAGATTCACCTTCCTCCCATTGATCTGAACCACATGAAAAGCCTCATAAGGAACAAAGCAGCGAGGCCCCAGGGAGGAGCGTCTGTGCGCTTTTCCACTCTGAGGAAGGAGGCCCACACCGGCTCTGATCTCAGGGAGATTCAGGGACAGCTGCCAAGAGTGGGCAGAAATGCCAGGGATGTTCAAGCTGCTGGCAGAAAGGAGGACGCTTCCCAGGACCTCGTCCTGGCCATCTGCCTGTCTGTGTTCATCACGTTCTTTGTGGCTTTCTGCCTGGGGGCTTTTACAAGACCTTATGTTGACAGACTGTGGCAACAAAGATGCTGGCACAAAAGCCCCGGTTCAGATAATGCCTATTCAAATGAGGGCTTCTATGATGAAATCGAAGCTGCAGGGAGCACACAGCATCCAAGGACCGATCTGCACCAAGCTTTGCATGTTCCAAAACTCTGTGAGAACCAGCACTTTTTTTTGGTGACAGAGCCAAGTCCACGTGCCACTGTCATTCCTGACAGAACTCTGGGAAGCAGCAGAAAGGAACCTGGCAGTCTGCAGAGCACAGAACAATGCAGGGCCAACACTGGGGAAGCAAGTAGAAATGATAACATGTTTCCAAACAGCAGTGCAACCCATTTCACTCTGTGCAGACATCCAAACGCTCATAATGATGAACTAATTTCAGCAGCACATGACCACATCTATAGGAATGATATTCTCGGGGAATTAAATTATGAAACTGTGGCCCAGGAATATTCTCCCAGTGAGCATTCAATGGGTGGCTCTGCCATAGCTGGCACATTAAGGACTTTCTCTGGCTCAACCCATAATCATTTGAATGAATTAAACCCGTCACTCCCCAGAGAAGTGACAGCTTCTGAATCCAAAATGCTAACACATGCAAATGCACAGAGGACTGGAGAGAGTAAGGAAATAAGGGGCCCTGAACAGTCACCTTTGGAAACTTCGGGTTTGCAAATAGAATTTTCTAAGGAAATGCAAGTGAGCAATTTCATCAGTTTGCTGAGTGCACAGCAGCCAGGGAGCCAGGGGGCCAAAGCTGAGGAAGAGCATTCAGAAATCTACAGTGCAAGCACTTGTATCGACCCAAGAGATGCAGACCTGTCAGCCCTCATGCCAAGATGGGCTAGTGACCTCAGTGTCACTCCTGCTAATGAGAAGCCAGTGCCCAAAAGTACACCGTTTGACACTCAGTATGACTTGGAGACTGACTACGATTCCGATGAAGGATCTTTGTTCACCCTCAGTTCAGAGGGTTCAGAGGTGATAAGGGACATGACTGAAGAAGAGCTGCACGGTGAAGAGAGCAGTGGGGCCACCAAGCCCCTGCAAGTTGAGAATCCAGGGATGCACAAGGACAGTGTGATGTTAGTGGAAAGTCTTCAGGACAACATCACCTTCCAAAATATTCTGGGGAAATATGAAACTCGGGAAGATAATTTTGAAAATTCTCCCATTTCTGGATCAGACTCTGGTTTGCGCAAGACTTCTTTGGAAAGTGCCTCTAACATCAACATATCTGAGGATCCATTAACCTGGCCCAGATCCCTGGGTAACAGTCCTTCAAGAGCTGAGATTCCGGACATGTCCGCTTATGATTATGACATAGCTCTGCAGGAGACCCCAGAATGGCATTGCTCACTTAGAGACCTAGAATTTTCAAACATGGACATTTTACCACAAACACCTCCACATTCTGCTGAAGATCCCTCAGATACTGTTGAGAGAGCCTGCCATGAAAAAGATCTAGACACTTGTAGATATGAGCCTTTCGTTCAAGGAATAGACACAGCTCAAAAAGATTTTGCTCTCAAAATTTCTACAGGGGAAAACTTAAAACTCTCACAACAAGATTCCCAAGGGGGAGACCAGGATTCCAACCAAATGGACACTGATGCAAATAAGGGGCTTTATGTCCATTTGAGGACACAAAATCCAGAAAATTCATAAGCTGAATGTAGGTGTTACAATCCTATGGTGATAAGCTGGCTCTTGAGTGTGAAACGGGAGAATATTTTGGAGATAGTTCCAAGAACTAAGCACTATCATTACAAGAGCTTCCAAATAAACCCAGTTCACTAAGAGCATAAGAGCATTTCAGTGATAGAGACCAGGGTAAATATTCAGAGGAGAATCCATAGAAAAGATGATTACAAGGTCTGTGCTCGGACGCAGACCCAGAGCAACCTGATGAGAGTTGGCTGTGTATGTGAACAGCCCCATTGTGACAAAGACAAGGATATTCAACCTGGTAATTACAGGGAATTCAAGTGACATTTAGTCCACAATGAAGCACTTACATGGAAATGTTGAAGAGATTTTTAATGAATTCTCCACAGAGACTAGCACAGCTTTTTGAAGACTGATCATGAAACCATAAGATTGGAAGGGTTTAGAACAATTTAAATATTTTTAATAAGTTACAGAGAAGAGAGACCATTTTAGACAACAAAATGTTAATTAAAATTCAATTTTCAAGAGAAAAAGTAATGTTTTCCGTAAAAGAAACACCATTGTCCTTGATGAGCCTTCTTGGTGTGACTCTCCAGCTTGGTCTCTCATGAGCTGTTCTGTTTATTCTTCAGCTTCTCTGACATTTTCTCAGTTTCCTTCTTGACTCTCCTTCTTTGCTTGCCCCCTTAAAGGCAGTATTCCTCCAGGATTTTTCCCTAGTCTTTCCTTAAGACCCCTTTACCAGTACCAGGGAATGGTGAAGAAACAATACTATAAATCTGAGTTGGGCCAAAACAGGTTTTGCAAGGACTGATGGAAAGTTCTTGCAAATGTGGAACCTACTGCTTCACAATCAGCTTGATATAGATGATGCCAGATCTGCACAACAAGGCCCAGCCTCCCTGTTACGTTCCATACTCACATCCTTAAACCCACTTGCTCAATCCATGTGAATTATCCAGCACCTAAAATTCATCCTTTTCCTTCACAGACAGCACATCCTATATTGTCTTTCTTGATTAACAATAGCATGGCATCCTCCAAGTAAATCCAGTTAGTTACAACTTCTGACTTAGTTCTGACTCATTCTCTTTCATTTCCTACATCTGAGTAGCCTGTAAGCCAAGTACATTGGAAGTTCCTGGATGGCTACAAGATAAGGAGATAGGTATGGCAACCTGGATGGATGCTTGGCAATTTGGCTAAATCAAGGTTTATGAAAAAGATGGAAATTGATAGAGTGTGGGAAAGAACAGAAAGATTAAGAAAGTCCCTTAATCTACCTCATGTTAGAATCCTGTGGGATCCATCTCCTCAATAACTCTTAAACTTGTTCTGTCTACTCTCAGTCTCCAAATAAGGTGCATCTCTTGCCTATCACCTAGATTATTGTGATCTTTAATACTTCTCTGTGCCCCACTCATCTCCTAACAGTCTTATATCCAGTTTACTACTCCCCTGCTCAAAAACCTCTGATGGATGCTGTTATCTTTATAAAAACCAAATTCCATAATATGGACACATCCCACCTTTCCAATTGCCTCACTGTACATTCTATTCTTGTTTATATCATTTACGACAATTATTTATCTCAGCAAACTCCTGAGACCCTTACTGGATTCCTGATTAATTTCTTTCCCACTCATAATTACTATTTTAAAACTTTGACTATCCTTGATGTTTCACTGAGAAAATTTGGAAATCTGGACTGTGAGGAAGAAATTCCTTTCTTTTACCCCATAGCTGTAAACATGTTTATATCCATATTTACCCTCATTATTTTTCTCCAATCTAAGAATAAATCAGTATTCTTTGGTCAAGGATAATCCCTCCAGTCTGCTTTTGCTTCAGTCCTGGGTATAGATCCTTCATTCACATTTCCCATTTCTGCATGCCCAAACTCTCCATATCTATTGGATGTTTCTTGATGTTTCATGTTCAAGTCCTCTCAACATTAAAATTAAAGAAAAGAACACCTAGCAGCTCCCTCAAAATACTACCTTCTCTCTATCATAGCTAAGTTCTTCAAAGCAATGGTCAAAGGACTGTCCATTGACTTTTCGGCATGCTGTGGTCAAGCTTCATCCTCCCTCTAACCTGTGCCATTAAAAGTCAAAAGCAACTTTCAACTGACACATGCAACGGACTCTTCACTCTTCATCAAGTAAAACCTCTGCAGCACTTGACCCTTGGCCACTCCCACCTGGAAATGTTGGGTTAGTCAACTTCCCACTGCTGTGACACAAGAACTGAGATAAATCAACTTAAAGGAGGAAATGTTTATTTTGGCTCATGTTTTCAGAGGTTTCAGTCCAGTTTACTTTGGGGCCTACAAAGAGGTGAAACATCAGAGCAGTGGGAGCATGTGGTGGAGGAGGCTGCTCCCCTCATGGTGGCCAGGAATCAGACGAGAGCTAACTGTACAGCAAAGCCCTTTGACAAAACCCACTAACCTACGAAACTATTGTTGAGGTTGGAGCCCTCATGATACAAACACCTCCCGAAATTCCCACCTCTGAACACTGCTGCACTGGGGACCAAGCTTTCCACACATGAGCTTTGGGGGAGAGATTTAGGATCCTGTGCCTTTTGTGATATCGTTCAGTAAAGGTGAGGATCCCAGAAGGACAGAGATTGCAAGAAACAGGGATGACTGAAGACACCTTCATGAAGAACCATTTGCAAAGACCCAGGCAGGGTTAAAGGAAACTAACAAGGGAAGGTGAAGGATGTGAGGGCTAGCAAGAGGGGAGAGGCTTTACCAACCTCAGGCCTAAAAGACTGGGGAGTTGCCAGTTTGCCCGACAGTCCAGCAGGAACAAGCCAGGGAACCCGGACCCTCAGCCTCTCCATCTTCCAGTCTCCTCACAGCGCCTCCCAGTGCCTCCCAGTGCCTGACCTCCAGAAGCTAGAGTGGTCAGCCTTCCCAGCCACAGAGCAGGATGGAGAAGGGTAGAAAGTAGGTTTTGGAGAATATCCACCCCACACTGGCTCCTAATTCTGCTCCTCTGATTGTTCTTTCTCAAGCTCCTTTTCCAGCTTCTCTTTCTATGCTCACCTCTTAAATATGCAGGTTTTCTAGGGTTTGGGCCTTGACTATCCTGTCTTCTCACTCACCTCACTTTCCTTGTGAGAGCTATCAATCCTCATGTCTTCAACTACCACTTAATGGCTAATATTTCCTATTTCTGTAACTCCAGCTTTGAAATCTTTCCAGAACTTTACACTCACATCCAATTGTCTATTGGACATCTGCATAGGCACTTCAAGCTAAGCATATCTAAAATGAAACCCAGTATCTCCCCCTAATCCTCTACCCACCAAATCTAATACTTCATGTGTGTGATGTGATTACACATAATTACCTTCACATGGGAGAGCTTATCACAAGTAAAATGATTATTTTATTGGTTATTAGTTTAACATATGCCCATTCTATACAGAAAATGCCAACAACAACAAAGGTGTCTGTCTGCCCAAGGTCTGGCATTTAGTAGGTCTCAATATATGCATTTATTGAATAGATAAGGAAAGAGCAAACTTGTTAGTACAGGACAAGGACATCCATGGTCTGTTTACCCTCCAGCTTGCCTTTCATTGTATCCTTCCCCATTCCTGGTACCCAAAATTCAAGCCAACTGTACCAACCTGCTCACAGTTACAGACACGCCCGCCTGCATCACTTAACTCTGCCTGGGCCCTCGATGCTGCCTACTTTTTTAGGTTGCACATCTGATGTCACCACAATGAGCTGGCAAGCTTCTTCTCTTCATTCAAGGCTCTATTTAAGTGTCACCTCCTCCGAAGCCTGGCTCACTTCCTTCCAACCCACGTAGAACTAGCTCTCCCTCGCTCCCTTAGGCCTCCACTGCACTGTTCTGCACTGTAGGAGAAATGAGGTTTCACATAGCTTGATAGAGACCTACTGGACTCTTCTGTTGACAAAATTCCAACTATTTAGTGATTTTCAGTCCCATCATGCAGTCTGTGAAGTTAAAGGTCATCTCAGTGCTGGCAGGTATTTCATAAAGTAAAAAAATAAATAAAAATTTTAAAAAATTATATTCCAGAAACAGAAAAAAAAGTATGCACAGTTTTGAATATTTTTGTTTGCTTTCTTATTTTTGTTCAGATTTCCCAAAAGAGTTCTGGTAGTGTGGCATAAACATCATAAGCTTTTTAGTTAAACAGCTCTATTTCTTAGCAAGCCCCTTGTTTTCTGTAAAAAATAAAACTTTTGGGCTGGGATTGTGGCTCAGCAGTAGAGTGCTCGCCTAGCACGGGTGGGACCCAGGTTCGATCCTCAGCACCACATAAAAATAAAGGCATTTTGTTGTGTCCATCTACACCTAAAAATAAATATTAAAAAAGGAATGTTTTAAAAAATATATTTTTTTGTACCAGGGATTGAACCCAGAGGTGCATTACCATTGACCCACATCCCCAACCCTTTTTTATATTTTGTTAGAGACAAGGTCTTGCTGAGTTGCTTAGGGCCTCACTAAGTTGCTGATGCTGGCCTTGAACTTGCAATCCTCCTGCCTCAGCCTCCCAAGTCACTGGGATTACAGTCATGCGCCACCCCCTCCCATAAAAATAATTTCTAAACTTCTCAGCTTAGCTTGATGTAAGATTTGAGGCCTGCCCTGTATCAGATTTCCAAAATTGCTAGGGATCTGCCACCAAATAGCCTCAAACTTTAAGCTGCTCAAGTTATACTGAGTCCCTATTCCCCAGTTTTGCCTTTGTTTTAGTTTCACTTATTCTAATTATGTTTCTAGTTCTGGTCTTACTTCAATGGCTTTAAATCACATCTTACTGTTTATTTCAATAACCTTCTTTGCATTTCTTTGGCAGAGTAACTCTTAAATTTTCATCAGCCTAACAATTCCTTATCATGATACTGTAACCTAAAAAACATTTTTTAAATCTCTGATATAAGTTATCTTCATGTGTTTCTAAAGCCATTAAATAAATATTGGATCAATACTTACCTA